CCTGGGGAGCTGCGATCTGTGAAACTGTCGCCACTTTCGAGGGCTGCTGGGGGGCCCAGCACAGTGGGTATTCACGGTTGATTCAAATTAGACCTCACCATCACTGGGGGGCTGCGATCTGTGAAACTGCCACTTTCGAGGCTTGCTGGGGGGGCCAGCACAGTGGGTACTCACGGCGGATTCAAAGGCTGCTGGGGGCTGCGATCTGTGAAACTGTCGCCACTTTCGAGGGCTGCTGAGGGGCCCAGCACAGTGGGTACTCACCGCAGATTCAAATGGGACCTCACCATCCCTGGGGGGCTGCGATCTGTGAAACTGTCGCCACTTTCGAGGGCTGCTGAGGGGCCCAGCACAGTGGGTACTCACCGCAGGCTCAAATGTGACCTCGCCATCCCTGGGGGCTGCGATCTGTGAAACTGTCGCCGCTTTCGAGAGCTGCTGAGGGGCCCAGCACAGTGGGTACTCACCGCAGACTCAAATGGGACCTCGCCATCCCTGGGGAGCTGCGATCTGTGAAACTGTCGCCACTTTCGAGGGCTGCTGAGGGGCCCAGCACAATGGGCTTCCCGCACGTCTTTCTCCTGCTCTTCGCTCCCGTCTCCCCATGTCCTCTTCGAGCCTGTAGCTGTTGCCCTTCTTTCTTGTATGGTTCTCCTGCGCATCATGCCATAGGCGCGTGTCCCAAGTAGCTTACATATCAAACAACGGATCCTGCAATTTGATTGTCCATGCAAGTTTCGGTCAACTTCTCGTTTCCCATGATACAAATGGGTTGGGTACGTCACAGGGTAATTTATGTATTGCCCTCCCCCCCCCCCTCCCCCCCCCCCTATGGAGTGGATCTTGGCTGTTTCTGGCGCCTTTTTCGAGCAGGTGGGGTCCCTACCCCATAGGTCGCACGGTTCCAAACAGTCGCGCTAAGCAGAGGTCTGGAGCCGCCAGACCCCCGCCCCCTCCCCCCCCTTCCGCCCAACGTCGAAACGCCGAAAAAAACGCTCACGAGGCGGAGGTGCTTCGCAGTTTTGGGCCTCGCGGGGCCCTCGCCTGTCCTCGCCGGGCCTCGGGACCGTCAAGCAACGATGCGGGATGTGAAGAGCCGGCCCCCGGGGAAGTGGTCGGGAGGTCGGGGGCCCGTGTCTCGAAAGCATAGAGACCGCGGATGCCTGGACCCGGGGAAGGGCCGCCCGAGCGACGGCGAGGGTCCGGACGCTGCGGTGGGCCCGCGGCGGCTCTCCAGCCTCGGGAGTGAAGATCCTCCTCCTCCTCCTCCTCCTCCTCCTCCTCCTCCTCCTCCTCCTCCTCCTCCTCCTCCTCCTCCTCCTCCTCCTCCTCCAGGGCGTGCTGGAGCGCTCCCGAAGCGTTCCGGAGCGGTTTGGGGCCGCGCAGTGCCCGAGGCGTCCTCCAGAGCCCCGGGATCTCGGAGGTTCTCGACTTATCCTCACTCGATGATGTGTTCTCTTCATTTTAGTTTGTTTGCATTTGTATACAATTGTATGTACACATCTACATATATATATGTATAAATCTATATATATATATATACATGTGTAAATCTATTCATATATATATATATGTACTTATACACATATGAATGGCCTCTGGCCAGTGCCGCCGATTCGAGGCGCTCCAGATGCTGGTGGTTGACACGACGGCGACGACGACGACGACGATGACGACCTCGACGCCGACTACGGACGACTAACGACTAACGGGAGGAAGGAGGCGGGATGCGGGAGGCGTGAGGCGAGAGGCGGGAGGAGAGGGAGGGAGAAGGGAGGAGGCAAAAGGCAAGAGGGAGGAGGGAGGATAGGGGAGGATGGGGAGGAGGAGGAGCAGCAGGAGCAGCAGGAGGAGGAGGAGGAGGAGGAGGCGGAGGAGGAGGCGGAGGAGGAGGAGGAGGAGGAGGAGGAGGAGGAGCAGCAGGAAGAGCAGGATGAGGAGGGAGGAGGGAGGAGGGATGTCTGCACGTGCGCCTCCCACATGCACCGACCCTGGGCCCCTCGGTGCGCCTGCACGGGAGCGGTGCCGGGCACGTGTCGGGCGCCCACCCGCCACAGGCAGAGCGTGGCGAAAAGCGCCGCCGCGGCGGCGGCGGAGGCGGCGGAGGTGCCGCCCGCGGAGGCTGCCGTCCTCAGGGGCAGCGCGGTAGGGGGAGGGGATCTCAGAGGAGGAAGAGGTGCCCACACCTCTACTCCGGCGATCCCAAACATGGATGAAGGGGGCGTGGACTAGCGACGGGTCCCGTGTCCATGGGAGATCGCGGATTGTCGCCGCCGAGCGAGGCGGCACCGGCCGCATTTTGGGGAGGGCACCTCCCCCGATCCATGGATTTGGCGACCGCGCGCCAAATCCATGGATCGCAAATCCATGTTTGCGCGCCCCCAATCTACCCCTTCCTCGTTTTCTTCTTTTTGGGCATCATCGGAGGCCCTCGTCGTCGCCGTTGGATTCGCCTCGAAATTCTGGTCAGAAGACACCCCGCGAGAGGTCTGGGGAGTAGCGGTATCTGTGCCTCCCGGTCTCCCCAGGTCAGTCGGCGGCGAGCGAAGGGGGGGGGGTCAGAAAGGGGAAGGCCTTCTCAGAAGGTGGCGGGGCTTCTCAGAGGCCCTCGCGACTTTGAGAGAGGTGCTCTGCGCCTTCGACGAGTAGAGGGCTCAGGCAACTGCACAGCAGGCTGGGGGACCTTTGAGCTCTCTGAGAAGGCCCGTCACTTTTCACTTCCCCTGGGCTCGCCGCCGAAAGCAGGCGCAGGTGGGCGAGGCCCAGAAACGGATTCGTCTCTACCGACATTGGTCAGAGGGGGGAGGGGTACCCATACCGCTACCCTTACATAGTTTTCCCCTTTGGGGGGTCAGGGAGGCCCTCGTCGCCACCGCTGGATTCGCCTCGAAATTCTGGTCCGAACGCACCCGGGGAGATGTCCCGTGATTAGCGGTAGCGGTGCATTTCCGTTTCCTTCAGTGGCGCGCTCGTTGCCCGCGTAAGGTCGCGTAAGCGCCCTCGTCTCCAGTAGGCTGAGCTGGGTACGAGTCGGTAGCAAGTCCGAGGGGGAAGTCAGAGGGGGCGGGCCTTCGCGGATGGCTCGGAAGGTCTCCCTTCTTCTGAGAAGTGTTCGACGTTTTCCCCAAAGACGGAGACGACTTCTCAGAAGACGCGAGGGCTTCTGAGAAGCCGCACCGTCGTCTGAGAAGGCCTGCCCCCTCTCACTCCCCCACGGGCACGTCGCCGAGTTTAGGCTCATTGGTGGGGGCGGCAGGTTCGAGGTTCGAGGTGCTGAGCCGTTTTCGTCGGCTGTCCGCGGTGTTCCAGCCCTGGGATGTCGTCCAGCAGCTGCACCTCGCCGAGAGCGCTCCTGGGCTGCCCAGGCAAGCCCGAACGGCCGCTGGAGACCCGCGAGCTATCGCCCGAAGGTTATACGTCGAGGCTCGGCGGCGGGGTCCTCGGCCCCCGATCGCCAGGAGGAGGAGCAGGAGGAGGCGGAGAAGGAGGAGGAGCGAGGTAGAGGAGAAGGAGGAGGCGGAGGAAAAGGAGGAGGAGGAGGAGGAGAAGCGAGGAGCGAGAAGGAGGAGGAGGAGGAGGAGGAGGCGGAGTTCCTGATGGCTCACCCCGCCCAGGAAGGCACAGTTTCGCTATCGGAGGCCTGTGGCCGACCTGTCGGCGACATATGGCCGATTCAGGCCGATGTCTTCCCACCTGAGCCTGTGCTCCCCCTATCGCTCTCCCTCGCGTCCTGGACGAGCTTGGAGACGACGTGGATCCAAGGGTCCGTGAGCTTCTTGCCAGGGTCCACGAGCTGGAAGGACAGAAGAGCGTCCTTTCCAGGCATCGGAGAATAACAAACAGCACGAGCATTGATTATCGAAGCGCCGCGCGGAATTTTTAGATCGGCGCTGACGACCCTTTCCCTGGCGTGCGGATCGCGCCATGGGCTGCGCCAGAGGAGCCGCCGCCGGGGGGCTCCATCGCCGATCCAAGCAATCCGCGCGGAGCTCCGAGAGTTCATTTGTGTTCAGTGTTTGGCTTCGCCAAGGCAGCTGAGCGAGAGGCCCATCGTGTACCAGTTCGGCCCCGACGAGAACGACCCCGACATCAACGACGAGTACGACGTGGAGGCGCATGCGCCAGACGGCGCATCGCGGGGCCTGGCCGCCCTCAGCATCGCCACCATATGCTGCGTCGTGTTGGCCGTGTGCTGGCGCTGCATCATGCGGAGTCTCGTCGTGTGCCGAAGGTCGCCGTGAAGGGAACGGGTCCCGAGGGAAGCGTGTCCTGAGGCTTTTTTTCGCAGTGTCCGGGCTCTCTGGGCCCTACACGGGCCTCGGGACGGTCAGAAAACGAGTCAGCAATGAGAGGTGGTTTTGGGAAAAGCCCCCCAGGGTCCGCGACCCGTTCCTTCACAATGGAGGCAGAAGCCCACACAGCTGGTAGAGAAGTCCCTGAGGCACTTTACGCGGAGCCTATTGAAGAGGCCGCTGTTGCTGTGGTTGTTCTACCTGCACGTGATGGTGCTGTGGGCGATGGAGGGCTGGCGTCAGGCTGCCCTGAACTCCGCCGCACACCAGAGCTGCGGTCCGTTGGCCGCCCACGGGGCCAGGTGGGGCACAGGAACCGAGAAGGCAGTCTCTCCCCCCCCCCAGTAGCCGCAATGACAGCCAGGGTCTGCGGGCTTCTGGAAACTCTCTTTGGCAGCTTTCATCGGTCGGTCACCGAGGGAGGCTCGCAGGCGTCCGCGCTTCGCGTGTGGCTGGAGGGTTGGAAACTCTTCTGGCAGCTTTCATCAGTCGGTCACCGAGGAGAGGCTCGAAGGCGTCCGCGCTTCGCGTGTGGCTGGAGGGTTGGAAACTCTTCTGGCAGCTTTCATCTGTCGGTCACCGAGGAGAGGCTCGAAGATGTCCGCGCTTCGCGCGTGGCTGGAGGGTTGGCCTTCGCCAGGCTGGCGGCTCGAGGGCGCCGAGATGTTCGCGCTTTCCGTCTCGAAGAAGCCTCAGCCCCTCCGTATCTTAACAACCCAGTGACATACCAGGTTAGGGCAGATGGAACCCACCGAAGTATCTACGATCACCCCCTATTCTATTAGCAGCCCTGGGCTGATCCCAGCTCGATCCTGCATCCCATTTCTCCGATGCCGCGTCTTTGTTCGCGACATGGCTCGACAGAGGTCTGGACCTGTTCCCGGGGACCAGCTCTTCGTCCCGAGTTGTCTTTGTTGGCGGCCCCGGGCCTGTGAGGGCCGCCAGACGCCGCGAATGGCCCCAGAAAGGTGTTCGCCGTGAATTTCGTTCAAGGCGCGAGGAGGGATGTCAGAGGATCGTCCGTCGGCGGCGACATCCGAACCCCCCAACCCCTGCCGATCAACGAGTCAGGCAACTCGATGGGCGGCGGGGGCAGGGTTTGGATTGCTTTTTTGGGAGTGGAGGTCCCACAAAGGTGTCTGTCGTGACTTTCTGCACGACGTGAGGGCGCTGGGGGATGCTCCTTGACATGCATTCACCACCCACCAAACCACCCCAACCCAACCCGAAGGCTCAGATTTGCCCTCGATTTCCAGTGGGGGGGGGGTCGGGAAACATCGAAAAAACACACGTGGAACCCTTACCCCCCCCAACCCGAAATTCGGGTCTTCGGGTTGGGTTGGGGTGGTCTGGTAGGTAGACATGCACTCACTGTGCGCGCAGGATCAGAGCGGGAAGCACGGTAACTGCGACGCACGCCGCTCGTGGCGGCTCACGGGCCAAAATGCTTACGTTTCGGGTGCACGTTGCGTTGAGGCTTCCCCTCTCCATGCGTTGATTTGGCGGCGAGCCCCCGGGGGAAGTGAGAAGGGGCGGGCCGTCTCAGAAGGTGCGGAAGTCCCCCAGCCCTCTGAGAAGGCTCCCAAGCCGTCCCGGAAGGCAGAACGCAACCTCTGAGAAGGCCTTCCCTGTCTCCTAAGGGGGACGCCAGCTACACACCCGGCCCTGGCCTCAAGTCGGGCCTGTCCCCTACAGGGGGATTTTCGACGAAAATTAAAAAAAAAAATACCCCCAAAATGTTCGACTCATAGTCCAAAAACAGTCTGGGGACTATTTTTGAATTTTTGTTTTTTATCCTTTTGGGTTATTTTTGGTGTATTTGTTTTATGTTTCGTCGAAAGTCCCCCTGTAGGGGGACACGCCCGACTTCACCCTGGCCAGGCCTGGCCGCCTCGCAGATCTCCCCCGGTGGGCGCTCCCCGGGCGCGCGGTGCCTCGAAGGGGCCGGGGCCGTCTTCCCGGCGCGCGCGGCGTCGCGCTTCCGCCCGGCGAGGGCAGGCTGCGCCTCGGGCAGGGCGGGCGGGCGGGGGTTGACGAGCGAACAACACGAGGAGGAGGAGGAGGAGGAGGAGGAGGCGGAGGAGGAGGAGGAGGCGGAGGAGGAGGGGGGAGTCGTTGGGAGGAAGACTGGCTATGGATACGGGTGCGGGTTGTCGGACCCTGGGGGAACGCTCCCGTTCGAGCGGGGGCCCCCGTTCGACAGCACGCACCCACAGCCCTCTCCGGCCCCCCTATTGAGTCTGGGTGCTTGTTGTTGTGTCGTCAAAGGGGCGGAGGCGGCGGAGGCGGGGGCGCGAGCCGAGGGGGGAGGAGGAGGGAGGAGGCGAGAAGTGTGCCGCCTCCTTGTCCTGCAGGCCCACGCAGGCCTGCTCCTCGCAGGCCTCGGCCTCGTTGGGCGGGGCCGGAGCGATGGTCCCAGGCTCCTGCGTCGGATCTGTCAGGATCGACGCTGCGATCCCTCCGGCGTCGAGACGCACAGTCGGGAGCCTCCGCGAATGTTTCGCCCGCCCCAGATCGGGCACGGAAAACGCGCGCAAACCTTGACGGAAATCCTCTGGCTCCCTCCCGAGAATGAAATCAGCCTCGGCCTCATTGATTGCAATCAGGTCTCGTAAGGAGTCGGCTATGCTGGTCGCGATCGCCTTGGGTAGACCAGACGAGAGGGTCTTCTTGGCAGAGGTCATACATCTGCTGTCAGATGCTCTGCCTGAGCGGGTTCTGTGAGAGCCTTTGCCGTGGGGACATCTGCCCCCCGCCTGAAGTATTCCAAAGGTGGGAAGGGAGGGAGGGCGTACAGCGGACCGAGAAGGCGGGTATGGGTCTCTGTCTACGGTGGCCCAAGCTGTGTCGGCAGGGAGGTGTCCACATTGGCCGAAGTCAACCGCACACGGGCGGGGCGCCGACGCTTGAGGAACAAGAGGGGGCCATCAAAACGAAGTGGGAGCACCGGCAATCCAGGTAGGGGGAAGCGGGTGTGCAAGCCAACCACCGGTGCCAGCTGTGCAGTGTGGGCAGCCAGCAGTCGTGTGAGAGCGCGCAATAGCTGGGACCCTGCAGGCACTTGAAGTCCTTGGCGGGCCGTGCCCCGGGGGGTACCCCAGATGTGTTCTTGGGTCCGCAGAGGGTGGCCTTCGTACAGCCGAGCAGCACTCCACGTTCGCAGGGCCCCCCCCCGAATTAAGAACCCTCCCAGCACGCACACGTCCTGGTCATTGTTGTATGGCCTGAGCTCGCGTGAGAACGCCGCGCTCAGGGTCAGTGGCCACGTCCACCGAGAGAGAGCATATGACACATGACGTGGACGGCCAAGCATATTCGAGATGACTCTGTATATCCCCAGACCTCCTCATTTCAGAAAACAACTGGAGCACGGGAAACTCCGGCCCCTTGACCTGGAACGGCAGTTCGGCAGCGTTGAACCTTGAGAAATCTTCAGGCCGAAAAGGCCAGAAACGATCATCAGGGGGAGGAGGAGCCGGAGGAGGGGGAGTCTAAGCTAAATCCAAAAAGCTGGGCCGCCTCAGGGGAGAAGGCATAATCCCCTATTCACAGAATATCTCTAGCCTCGCCTACTGTGAGCTGGGTAGTCTGTGAGCTTCTGTTTGACTGCAGTCTGTGCTGGCCGCCAGTGGGCACGTCCAGCAGCTCGTTGCTGACGCGCCGCCTCGTGATCTGCGTTATTCAGAGACTGGCATTCCTCCGCGGAGCAAGAGCGGGGCTCGCCTAAAAGGGAGATGGCGCACTTGGCACTTGGGCGAGTCGAAGGCGATGTGTTCAGTCAAGGTTTTTCCTGGAAACAAATCTCGTATGACCCATACCACAAGTAAACGTGTCCCTCAGTACCCACCTGGTGGATAACAACTTGGTGGATAGATGAGCGATGGTGTTTGACAATATGTTGTTCAAGCCCCTTGGTCCCGATGAGGATCCTCAGAAACCTGGGCGCCTCGGAGACCTGGGCGATGCGTATCGGATGGGTATCGTCATCATGGGGCCGAGGGACACCAGCTTCGAACAACTTGTTGAAAAGTACTGTTTCGGCGATTTCGGCGGCCACGATGCAGCCCGAGTAGTCGACCTGGGACCGAAGAGCTAACCTGACCGTGTTTTTCCAACCAAGCGCCGATGGCCTAACCTGGGCTCCCCAAGCAGACAAATGCTCCGAGGTGTCCGGAATGTCATGATCCGTGTGAGCAAACTTCTTGACCCACTGGAGGTCTTTGATCACCTGATGAACACAAGACGTCCTCGCTAGTGCTCGCTGGTGCTACCAAGTGATCTGTCCCGGCATGATGGAGACGCCCGAAAAGACAAAGGCGGTGAACCGCTAGGGCAGTCTCAAGGCACGGCCGCTAAATTTGGGCAAGGATGTGATGGTTGGGAGCGGCAGTCTCGTCTTTCCTGGGCCTGCGCACCACCGCTCGGCACATTCGCACCAAGTCATTGGACAGTGAGGCCTGCTGCGAGTGGGTCAGCTCTGACCAAGTGCCTGCGTTGAACAGTTTGCTCGAGTACACGAGTGAGTCCACGAGTATGAGGCCGACGGATCGATTTAATTCTGGTACCTTTAGCACGCGTCGAAGGGCTTTCCAAGAGGGCATATTGGCTTGTGTACGGTGAGCGAATTCCGGACCCAGGGACCATCAAGCATTGTTCCCAATTTTTTTTTGTCCGAACCGCGAACAGGGTAATCGATCCTAGAAGTCGAGCGGGGATTGCGATTCCACCTTGGAGATCCCTCCATGGCTTCAACTAAGCTCCTTCCGAGCTATTGCCTCCAAATTGAAAGAGACTGGCACTTTCGCCCTTGACCGTGTGCAACTGCATTCCGTGCTCGGCGAAAGTATTAGAAACATTGGCAGCAATGAGCGGCGCGAATTGAAGCATACGCATAGCCTTGCCCATAAACACGAACAGTGCATCGCCAAATAAGGAGATATTTGAAGAGTGACCATCGTAGGTGATGTCCCCTTGCGTGTTGGAGTGTAGGGGAGGAGAGGGGAGGGAGAGGGCAGGAGGGAGGAGGGAGGAGGGAGGAAGGAGGAGGGAGGAGGGAGGAGGGAGGAGGGAGGAGGGAGGAGGAGGGAGGAGGAGGAGGAGGAGGAGGAGGAGGAGGAGGAGGAGGAGGATCAGGAGGAGGAGGAGGAGGAGGAGGAGGAGGAGGAGGAGGAGGGGGAGCAGGAGCAGGAGCAGGAGGAGCAGGAGCAGGAGCAGGAGGAGGAGGAGCTATTCTCACTCCCCCCCCCGCTCGCCGCCGACTGATGCTTCGCCTGCCTGCCCTCCGCTTTGGGGGGGGGGGAGGCGCCGATGCCCAAACGGGCGGCCCACGCCGACCGCGGCGCCGGAGCCCGGCGGCGCAGATCGACCGGGCCTTCCAGGCCGCCGCGAGGACGGAGGCGCCGTGACGCGGAGGCAGCGCCGGGCGGCCGTGGCCGCCCGCGGACCGCGGCGGCTCGGAGGCGACGGCGGGGGCGAACCGCCCCAGGGGGGGAGCAGGACCTCAGTGGGCCCTGGAAACGGCAGGGCCGTTTTTTTACCGGGTCCGTTTTGCCGTTTTTGTTGCCGGTGCCAACGCAGTTTTGTTACCGGTACCGTCGCCGTTTTTTGACCGGTTCCGGGTCCGGTTCCAATCCTGGAGCCGTTTTTTTGCCGTTTGCGGTCGCCGTTTTTGTGCCGTTTCCATTTTCAAGGGGCATTTTTTAGGGAAACGGTGAAAAAACGGCCCTGCCGTTTCCGGGGCCCACAAAGAGCAGGACATGCACAGGTTGCGCATTTCTGATCCTTCGAGTTCTTTGATTTTTTGGGGGGGCCAAGATCCTTCCATCTCTGATTGCTCTATCCTGGGCCTCGTCCTGGCCACTAGGGGGCCAGGAACATCTCAGAAACGAGCACAATTAGAAATGAGCGCGATTAGAAATGAACGACGTGTATCCTGGGGGGGGCGATGATCTATGTTTTTGACAAGGCTCCCGGGCGAATACGTGTAATGCCCGCCCCTGGGCTATTCGCCCCTATCGTCTCCCCCGAGACCTGGTGGCCTCGAGTCGACTGCACGTTCGAGTGACCTTTCACTGGAGCTCAGTGGGCCCTGGAAACGACATGGCCGCTGTTTTTGCCGGTTCCGTGTCGCCGTTCTTTCGTGCCGGTTCCGTCGCCGTTTGTGTTTCCCGGTTCCGTCGCCGGTTTTTCCAGTTACGGTTCCGATTTTGGTTCCAATTTTGGAGCCGATTTTGGTCGCCGTTGGTTTATCGTGTTCATTTAAAGGGGATTTGTTTCGAAAGCGGTGAAAAATGGCTCTGCCGTTTTCAGGGCCCACTAAGCGCTGAAGTGACTTTTGGCGCGGGCCCAATGGGGTCCCCCGATCGATGAGCGCAAAGCGGTAGCAGTGGCTGGCGCGCCTTGGTTTGGCCACCCCGAGTCCCCCGTTCAGCCGCGCACCAGAGGTCATTCTTGCCTGAGGTCACTCTTGCGTATAGCCGACCGTATACTCGGGGGCCTTGAGACGGGGGTCAGTGCAAACGGGGGTCAGTCAGAGTGCTGGATCTTGCGGGATCCTGCAGCGCCGAGGCTGCACTGACCTGGGCTGGCGTGCATGATGTTCTAAGATCTTGCAAAGCTTGATTGACCCAGGTTTGGATTGACCCAGGTCAGTAGATCCCCGATAGACATGCTAACGGCGATGCAGATGAAGGCGATGTAGATTTCGGTATTGTAGGTGGGAGTGGTTCATGACCAACCCAGTTATATGAGAGCGTTGTTGTGTTCTTTTTGTCTGCGCTTCGCCGTACCGTTGTCGCTCGATGCACTTGCATTTGAAATGTAGGAGGGTGTGGTTCGTGATTTCCTGCAATTTGTTCTGCGCGAGTTCGGCGTCGCAAGAACCAGATTCCCAACATCGCCATCAGCCAGCATCGCTGTCAGCGTGGATTCGGACTGCCGCGGCGACAAATAGGCCTTCCCGAGGCCCAGAAAGGGCAACAAAGCATCAAACAACTTCGATGTCTTTTAATGGGATCCTTGGCGGCGATATTAATATCAGGTTATCCTTGATTTAGACCGCACTGGGACCGCATGTTGCCCGGCCTCCTGCTTCTCCTCGTCCCTCCTGGTCCTCCTCCCTCTCCCCGTTCTTCTCGTCTCCCTTGTGAGGGGGCGAATCTAGTACAATTTCAATCCAAATCCTGTTCCACATGCAGTCCAAACCAGGCCCACATCGGACATGGTTGGGGGCAACGTAGGCTCCCATGAAACGGACACCACAGCAACAGAGCATCAACCAACCTCAATCCACCAGTCTCGATCCTGAACCCTCGCGACAATCGAGGAGCACAACGATGCATAGACATAGACTGTCGGAGCCCCGCGCTTATTTCCCTGGATCGGCGCTGGACCACCCCTTCCTGGCGCACGGAGCGCATCAGTGGCGGCGCCGGAGGCGCCGTTGGGGGGCTCCAGCGCCGAGGAGGAAGAGCGGGGGGCGAGGAGCGAGGAGGAGGAGGAGGAAGAGGAGGAGCACGAGGAGGAGCGATGCGGAAGAGGAGGAGGAGGAGGAGGAGGAGGAGGAGGAGGAGGAGGAGGAGGAGGAGGAGGAGGAGCGGTTGGAGCTCATGGCGGGTGCGCCCCAGCTGTGGCGGCGGCGGGCGCTCTCTGTCGAAGCCGCCGCCGTCGGCAGGGGGCCCCGTCTTGTTTCGGGGGCGTCCGAGAGGGGGTCATCGGGCAAGGAGTCATCAAGAACTGAATCGCCCTTGACCCTGAGAACACGATGACGTGGCCTCACCGAGGTCCCTGTCCTCGCACCAGGGATGGTAACTCTGGGCGGTAGGGTCTGTCACATTCGTAGAGAAGACCCCCAAATCCCTGATGCTGTTGGCCCGCTAGCTCCCAGTAGGTCTCCTCTCCCAAAGGGGTAACGGTTAGGGGCCTTTTTCGTGCTCATCACTGAGGGAACGCCCACCCGGACGGGCCGATTCTTTTTGGGAGATTTGCACGGGCTCCTTCGACATTGGTGTTCTTACGAGGGTGCCGGCGCCCTCTCCCGGTCAGTATCCGCTCGTCCGCGTGCGATCTTCGCCATGACCTTTTCGGCTGTTCCTGGTCGGCGGCGAGCGGGGGGGGAAGCGAGAAGGAGAAGAGGGGAGCAAACAATGACAGAAACAACTCGGAGGTCCGCGCGGATTTCTCGGATCGGCGCTCGAACCCCCTCGCTGGCGCGCGGAGCGCGCCAGGGGCGGCGCCAGAGGCGCCTCCCAGGGGGGTGCAGCGCTGATTCGAGAAATCTGCGCCGCCCTCCGAGTTGTTATGTGTATGTCATTGTGTGTTCCCCTAGAGAACGCCTCCCCAGACGGCTCGGAAGCCCCCTGGCCTTCTGAGGAGTCTTCGGAGCCTTTTCCGAAGTCACGGGATGCTTCTGGCCGCGGAAAGTTTTTCTGAAGAGTTTCCCGCGCCTTCCTCCTCCTCCGCCTCCTCCTCCTCCTCCTCCTCCTCGTCCGCCTCCTCCTCCTCCTTCCTCTTCCTCCTCCTCCTTCGCCTCCTCCTCCTCCTCCTCCTCCTCTCCTCCTCCTCCTCCTTCCCCTCCTCCTCCCCCCCCTCCTCCTCCTCCCCTCCTCCTCCTCCTCCTTCTCCTCCTCCTCCTCCTCCTCCTCATCCTCCTCCTTCCTCTCCTCCCTCTCCTCCTCCTCCTCCTCCCTCCGCCTCCCCTTCCCCCTCCCCCCTCCTCCTTCCTCATTCTCCCCTCCTCCTACTCCTCCTCCTCCATCATCATCCTCCTCCCACTCCTCCCCCCCTCTCCTCTCCTCCTCCTCTCCTCCTCCTCCTCCTCCTCCTCCTCCCCTCCTCTTCCTCCTCCTCCTCCTCCTCCTTCTCCTCCTCCTCCTCCTCCCTCCTCCTCCTCCTCCTCCTCCTCCTCCTCCTCCCCTCCTCCTCCTCCCCTCCTCCTCCTCCTCCTCCTCTCCTCCTCCTCCTCCTCCTCCCCCCTCCTCCCTCCTCTCCCCTCCTCCTCCTCCTCCTCCCTCCTCCTCCTCCTCCACTCCTCCTCGTCCTCCTCCTCCTCCTCCTCCTCCTCCTCCTCCCCCTCCTCTCCTCCTCCTCCACCTCCTCCTCCTCCTCCTCCCTCCTACTCCTCCTCCATCATCATCCTCCTCCCACTCCTCCCCCTCTCCTCCTCCTCCTCCTCCTCCTTCTCCTCCTCCTCCTCCTCATCCTCCTCTCGCTCGCCGCCGATCTGGATGCCGACTCGTGCCTCCGCCCAGGGGTGCTCAGGAGGCAGGGCCGCGCGCACCCGTGGAGTGCCCAAATATTTGTTTTTTTAAGTCGGACCTGTCCCTCTACAGGAGGAGTATGTAAAATAAGTCAAAAAATAGTCTGGGGACCATTTTGGGATTAGTTTTGAATATGTTTTGGAGTATGCTTTGAGAATGTTGTACATTTGGGGGGACATGCCCGACCTGTAGGGGGACATGCCCGACCTCACATGTGCTTCGCCACAGGGCGTGCTGCTGAATGGGAGCTTGCCCATCCTCGAGGTCACGACTGGGGGCGGACTGCATATCTAGGGGACCGACCAATGAAATAAACAAACAACAACAACAACAACAACAACAACAACACCACCAACAACAACAACAACAACGACGACGACGACGACGACGACGACGACGACGACGACGACAACAACAACAACTCGAAGGTCCGCGCGGAGTTCTCGGATCGGGGCTGGAGTCCCCCGGCGGCGCCTCCGGCGCCGCCCCTGGCGCGCTCCGCCCGCCAAGAAGGGTTGGTCCAACACCAATCCGAGAAGTCCGCGCGGACGTCCGGTTTGTCATGTTCATGCCACTGCTCGTTTCCCGAATAGCATGGCCAGGGCCATGACCTCTCCCTGGATTTCGGGGCCCCCCTTTTGTCCCGCTACCCTTTTCCCGCCCCACCCCTCTTGCTCTCGAAGAACCAAAAGCAGCATAAACGTAAACGCTTGACGCTCCGCGCGGATTTCTTGGATCTGCGCTGGGGCCCCCCTGGCGGCGCTTCAGGCGCCGCCCCTTGGCGCGTTTCGGGAACTTTGTGGCAGCGTGCCGCTCCGCCCGCTCCGGCCAGCGGAGCTCGGGGGCGACGCGCCGTCCTTTGCCCGGTCCCCCCGGGCGGCAGCGTCCCCAGCGTGTCCGAAGCCTCCCGCCCAGCGGAGCAGAGCGACGCGCTGCCCGCCTGCAAGGGACAGCCTGTCGCCGGGGCCGCCACGGCGACGCGCTTCGCAAAGGTTCCCGGCCATGTGGCTGAGGGGGGGCTGCACATCCCGAGCATTCCTTTTGGGTGGAGTGCAAAGGGTGGCATTCGAAATGCCGATTCTTGAGTCTGCAAAAGATGAATCACAGGACGGATTGGCTCTCGAAGTGCAGAGAGCCCATGCGGATTTCACCCTGAGCCCGCCACCCTACGAAAATGCTCAAATGCCATGGCCAGGGCCATGATCTCTCTCCAGATGTCATGGCCCCCGCGCTTTTTGCCCCCTCAGCACCGCCCGTGCCCCCTCCCCTCGTCTGCTCACATGCCTCGTGCCAGGCTGCGCGAGACCCCCTCCTGGACGCCCCCGACCCTGACTGAGTAGGACTCGGATCTCGGTTTCGGACAAGTTTTCTCCCATATTGGGGTCCGAGCAAATACGTAGGGTCGAATGATCGCGCCGCATCGCGTATGCATCGGCGATGCTGCGCGTCGTGGAGCCCGACTGTCCTGTCTTCACGCCAACGTCGCTGATGCATCGGAGACGGCTTCGATGCATCGCCGATGCATCGGCCAGGCGGCGCGATCCTCCGACCCCATTAGCTCGGGCCCCAGTTGGGAGACCTTCCGGTTCGGTGAAGTTGTTGGTAGTGTTCATTATATTTTGTTGGCGCTCCCACCTCGGGATGCTTTCCAGCAGCTGCGCCTCGCCGAGAGAGTTCCAGAGGTGCCAGACTCGTCCCAAACGGCCGCCGGAGTCACGCTGGCCCGAACGCCGACCTCCTCGCGTCGTGAAGACATCACCGCAAGACGTGTCTTGCAGTTCTCTCGCGCCCGCTGTGCCAGGTAGCCCCAGCACAGGTTGGTTGCTCCGGCCACTGCTGCTGAAACTCTTCCCGCGGTGGGTGCCCTCGTCCCCCGCCTGCCTTCTGCGGCCGCCCTCCTCCTCCTCCTCCTTCCCTCTTTTGCCGCCGGTTCATGAGTGGAGGGAAGAATACCGGGGACCATGACCAAGATGTCGCGGGATCTTGTCGATGCCGATTTTGGTCATGGTCTATGCCGGCCGTCGCGAAGTCGCGAGGATGATCCACGAGGCGACGCCGACTAAGACCGACCTTGACCAAGATCGACACGACGTGTCCGAGTCCAGTCTTTGTCATGGTCCCCGTTCTTTCCCCCGCCAATAGTACGCCACGCGCCCCAGGCTGTACGAGGGCACGCGTGCGGATCGCCTGCCGGCGCTGCGGCGTACAGGAAGTGTTTTGCAATGCTCTGCGCCCGAGAGGCCTTTACACGGCCCCGTGGTCGTGCCCGGTCCTCGTGGAGAGCTCCAGGTTTACAGCGACCCCATTGGCTTGTGAGACTCGTTGTTGGTTCTAAAACATCTTCCTGCCTTTCTACCAAAACGATTGATTGCCCTACTGCGTGTCTAACCAATGTGTTGACACATCTACTGAGCACCCCGCCATGTGCTACGCACAACACTACGGCTGTAGACCATAGGGGAGCCACGCTGCGAAGCAAAAACACGACGTCGGGTGTCTGTTGGTCACTGCGAGGGTACCAGGGCTCGAGCTAACTGGTGCTGTGACGATGTTGTGGACGTTGTCGTTTTCAATTTTGTTTCGCAGCAAAGGGCGGGGCGAATACAGGACGAGGGAGAATGAGCACAAAGCGACAACGGAAAGCATTGTTCAGCTCGAGCCCTGGAGGACACATCCCCCAGAGCGTTTCAGAACGCTCTCAGAGCGTTAGGGATCGCTCTGAAGCGGCCGCGCCGCCCGATGCAAGTGCCAGATCCGCCTGGCTCCCAGAGATTCCCACCCGAATCGTCCTCATCCTAATTTGCCCTCATCCTGTCTCATCCTGCAGTGGCCGGTCTTGCAGATCAATATCCAAACAGCTAT